GCCACCCGTCACAGAGCTCCACCCCCCACCCCTGCTTCCATGTCCCCCAGCCAAAGCCACACCAGTTGCGGCCCATGGAAGTTCTGTGAGACCTGAAGGATAACGCGTGCCCGTCCTGGGGCGTCTGCAGGGGCTTCCGTTACGTGTAACTTGGGGCTTCAGTTAACGGTAAAGAAATAGAGTGATGGGTTTTGTGTTCCTTCCTCGGAATCCTGTGGTTATCTTGCCCAAGCTGCGTCCTGGGAGAGACAAGAGCTTCAAAGCTGATTCCAGAAGAGCCCTCCCAGCGCCAGCACAGGCAGGCAGACTGTGTTATTTCAGGCCTGCAGCGACCCCCTGGGAACGGGGAACAGCACCGCTGTGTCTTCTGACCCTGCTGGCCCAGTCCGCTGGGGAAGGCACCAGACAGAGACTTGCCTGAGGTCACTTCAAGGCAGCAGCCGACTACATCGTGTGCTCGGATTTTGCTCTGAAGCCTTGGAATTAAAATAAGAATCCAAAGTAAAAAATGTTCATGAAATACATAAAAAGCAACAATAAGAGACATTTCTTATAAAACTGTCAGGCAGAGAGCTGAAAATTTATTTAAAAATAACTTTTCTCCTCCATTTCCATGTTATTAATAGTGGGTTTGGTTTACTATGGGCTTGGCCCCCGAGACCAGCGCTGCAATGGGACAGACGTCTGGGGAGAAGGTTCTGGGAGATGCCCTGGACTGCTCTTGTTGAAAGGCAGGCGCTGGAGTAACCTCACTGCCTTAGAGAAACTGATTCGTGTTTCCGGGTCTGAGTCCAGCCCTCAGCTGGCTTCCTCCACTGCCCTCCTGTGCTGCCCTCCCTCCCTCCCTCCCCCAGCTGCCTTCGGAGGCCCTTCCCTCCTCCGCCTTTCAAGATTCCTCCTGCCCTGTCCCCTCAGCTGTCTGAGATGAAGGGACACTTTCCAAGGGCTTCTCAGGTGTGGTGCCTGATCTGCAGTTTGTAAGTGTGGAATTCTCTCGCCACATCTGGGCCTTCATAGCCTTCATGCCTCATGTTCCTGCCAGTTCCTCGGTGTGCAGGGTAAACACAGGGGAAGTTCCTGCCCCCCATCCCCACCCCACTCCGTAGGTGTACAGGTGTAGACAGTGGCCTCCAGGTCAAAAGGGGAAGGGACCGGTTACAGACTAGCCTGGCTGATGGCAGGTGACCTGAGACAAGAGAAGGGAACACAGCTTATGTGGGCTGTTTTTCTATATACAAATCTTCCAGAAAGTTCTAGCCCATAAACAAATTGCCTAATAAAATAAAACTTGCGGGCAAACCTGTGGCTCTACTATCATGCGCCCTCCTCAGCACCCTTGGCAGAGGTCTCTGGGGGCCTGGGTACCTCAGAGCCTGACCACACGGTAACAGAGGACTCAGCCAGGCCTACATGAAGCGGACGGTTGCTGCTCAGTCCTACTGTGGCGTTCTCTCTTTTTCTGTAGACGCGTCCCCTTCCTTGCTCGGTCCCATCACAGAAAGAGCTGGTGCCAGAACCTCCTCTTTCCTCCCAGTTCCTTTTCAGTCACCTTCTTTTTGGCCCCTTGACTTCTCTCACCAGCTGTGCTGCCTCCCGAGGGTGGTCACCCCCAAACATCCAAACATCCTGGTTTTGTTCCCAGTAGGAGTAGGTTTTTTCCTTCCTGAGGTTTCTTTCCTTTTTTTTTTTTTTTTTAATGATTGATTTATTTACACATACAAGAGCTGGGGTATGGGCCAGACACACGGGGGGCGGGGGTGACTCACCAGAGACAGAGCGGGGAACAGAACAGGCAGACTGACTGAAACACACTGCTGAGGAGGGCAGGGGGCGAGACAGGAGAGGTCTGCTGCGCCATGTGGGTTGCTCCCTGGCTGTCCCGGAATCAAACTTGTGCTGCAGAGGCTGCGGTTTGCTTCATAGTGCGGTGCTTAACCCCTTGTGCCACCAGGGAGGCCCCCCTTCCTGAGGTTTCTTGGACCAAATGATTTACATTGAGAAACCCAGAACTGCTGTCAAAGTGAGTTTGCACCCCTTCATCTAAAATTACAAATTAGCCTACTAGCTGTCTTTTGCACCAGAGATGTCTTAATGAAGCACAAACATTTTTTAGGCGAGAAATTTAGAAATACATGTGAATGAAACTGAACCATTTTCACAGACAATGGCTTCCTCACAACTTTGGAGCTATAAAATACAGAAAGCTGTGTGCTGTCTTCTTCCCTGTCCATCTCTATTACATGACCTTTAGCTAAAATATAATACAGATGATACTAGAGTGTGAGTCTTAAGTCTTTAGACACGATGTGATCCAAGCTGCCAAGTAGGAGTTTGTGTGGCTTTTCACAAACCCTGGCCTGTTTCCTCCAATGCAAGGTAGGCTGAGTGGTGGACGCCCCCCTCCCCCACCCCCAGAAGTGGTCAGAGGTTTGAGGAAGAAGCGGGCGTAGGAGCGCTTTGTGGCCTCACAGGAAGGGAGCTCTGACGTGTGGCGCTGTCTCCTGCCTTACCTGGCCCCAGAGGCGGGCCTGGAGAGCTGCACTATTTGCTCATTTCCAGCCAGTGTTTCTCCAGTCATGTGCCTGCAGTCGTTGGCCTGGCGTGGACCCCGAGCTTCTAAACAGCGGTGTCCTAGAGCAGCCGCCTGCAGAGAGGGGGTGACCCGGATCCTGGGATGGAGCAGAGGAAGGCAGAAGGACATGCTCTTCTCTCTGAAGGGTTTTGTTTATGAAGCTCCTCGTGGCTTTTTTACTTTTTCCATGAAAAACTCTCTTCTTTTGTCTCCTGCAGCTGGCCCTGGTTTTGGACAGGGTGTTGATGTGAACACGGTTTCCAAATTGGAAATTAATGAGGTGTCCCATCCAGGGAGGCCTTCCTGCCCCACTCTACAGCACGCAGCCCCGGCCTGCCCCTTCAGTCTTGCTTTCCTGCCGCCCTTCTCTGTGATGGGCTGTGATGTGCGTCCTTGCCGCTCAACTGCCTCCCCCCAAGATGGTTTCAGGCCCATTTTCCTGGGCCTGAGAATTGTATTCATCAGTGTGGGGTCACCTGTGTGGTCAGGCTCACTGGCTTGTGCTGGGAAGGCGAGGGCCTGCTGCCTGGGAGCCCTGTGGCTGGGCCGCAAGTTCTTGTCAGCTCACCAGAGCTTCCACTTTAGCCTTTGTTCAAAAAGAAGGTTGGTGCAGATGTTCTGGACTGCAGGCGTCAGGGGAGGGGAACTTCCAGAATCTTCTCATTGCACAGTCAGCTCAGATTTGCACTGTGAAGATAGCGGGTGTCTCACGACTGAGGTGACAGGTTGCAGGACTCAAAACCCCCATTACTCCCCCCACCCCAGCTGTGTCCAGCATTTGACCTTCACCTCGGTTTCTACCTCAGTTCTACTTAGTGGAGGGATGAACAGGAAACATGGACATTTAGGAGGTAGCTGACCTGTAGCTAATCGTGAGCTCATTACAGTCAGCAGGTTCAGAGGGGGCAGCGAAGACCACATCGCGCCAGGATGCCCAGGCTGTGGGGCAGTGGGTGTCTGATTAGGAACCTTGTGGAACTTACTGCAGAATTGAGTGTGTGGATGTTGCAGGGTGGAGGGTGCTGGCGCTCCCCTTAGTGCTGCAAAGCATTCTTGACCCACCAGTTTGCATAAAAATAGTGGCCCAGTCTAGGGAGTGTGAGTCTCCCTTACCTTTGTGGGGTGGTGACCCTGTAAAAGTGTGCAGGGGGTTCCTGTATCCTCTAGGAAAAAGAGGTACAGACCCCAAGAGGCCTGGTAGCCTGTGACCTGGATGCCTGAGAGGCTCTACAAGACCAGTAAAGAGCGTGACAGAGGCGTGTGCCGAAGACAGACCGTCAAACCAAATACAGACCCACAGAAAGAAGTGGGGAGCGTCTGGGTTTGGAATGAATTGGAGAAAAGGAAACAAGCTAAGTCTCCAGGGGAAATCTTTGTGACCACAAGCATGAATAGGTCGTGGCCCTGTCATTCTAGAGGAGGTTGGAACACTCGAGACTCGACTCGTTAGCGGGTAATTTTTAGGAAATGCAGCTGTGATAGGAGGACTAGCCCGGGCAACCCCGATGGGTTACTGCCTCACCCGGACCGCTGGCCTCGAATTGCTGAAAGGACTCAACGTTCAAAAGAGCTAAAAGCACACACGGACGCCTCCCGAGGGCCACGCTCAGGACCCACTTCCACAGCAAATGAGTCGTGAGCACCATTAGAATCACTTGTATTTCGGGGTTGAGTGGCGTTGGAATAATCCAGAAAGTATCGTTTGAGACAAATTCTGATATTACAGAGCCAAGATGCTTTATGATAAGGCTGTTTGCACTGAATCAAAGAAAACAGTGAATAGCTGTTACCCTTCTTGGCCCGTGCTTTGTGGCTGCCGTTCTGACGGCACCAGTTCTTCCTTCATGGGCTGGTGAGGGTATCAGAGACTCTCTGTGGCCCTGGTTCCAGGGCAAAGCTGGTTCCATAGACATTCTGGCTGGGCTCGCTCTCCTCTCCCCACTAGGAACACCTGTGGGGATGGTCTTTTTGGGGAACCATCGTCTCAGGTTGTCCACAGACTCGTTTGGCTGGTGAAAGGGGTGGGGGAGGTCGTGTTTGCAAACCCTGAGTGCAAGTCTCCACCCACATCAGTGCTCCTGTCCTTCTCCCAAACCCCTACCCCTCAGCCCTCTGGCTTCTCTTCGCTTATCAGTTGTATTTCCCTCAGTGTGAACCTCAGAACTGTTCCACTTTACTCAGCCTTTGAACCGCTCCTAGCCCTTCTCATTCTCTGCCTCGGACTTGACTCAGATTTGCTTTCATCCTCCAGCACCTTTGTGCTTCCTAACACAGAGGAGGTGTTCGAGAAGGCAGCCTAAGCTCCAGTTCACCCTTTCCTTCTCAGTACTCAATCTGTCTCTGTTGAGTGTGTCCGAGTGGTTGCATGACAGAAAAACCTGAAGGAACCCACCCTCACGTCTCCCACATCATCTGTCCTTCCGTGCAGATCCTTGACGAATGGTTTGGCCGGACCGTCATCTGCTCCTGCACCAAACTCAGCTACGAGCATGCCCAGAGCATGATTGAAAGCCCACCTGGGAAGATCCCAGCAACCGAGCTGCCCCCCATCTCCCCCGAGCACACCAGCGAGGAGGTGCACCGCGCGGTGCTGAGTCTGCACGCCATCGCAAAGCAGTTGCGCAAACAGCGGTTTGCGGGCGGCGCGCTGCGTCTGGATCAGGTCAGTAACTCTGTTTTCAGTGCGGCCAGGCCCCGAGTGGCTGAGACTCGGCCTGGCAGCCTTGGGCCCGCCCTCTCCTCTCCCACTGGAGTGGTCTTCTCTGAGCAGGCGGCAGCCAGCTCCAGCCCCCACCCCCACTCCGTGAGCTCCATGGGCACATGCTGCTGCTAAGGGGGCCAAGGGCGGCTCTGTCACCAAAACCCCCATCACTCCCCCCACCCCAGCTGTGCCCAGCATTTGACCTTCACCTCGGTTTCTACCTCAGTTCCACTTAGTGGAGGGATGAACAGGAAACATGGACATTTAGGAGGCAGCTGACCTGTAGCTAATCGTGAGGCTGGGAAGGAGACCCACGTGGGGCCCTCTAAACCCACGTGGGGCCCTCTAAATCAGCTTCGCTGATTTATAAAGGCTCTAGGGTGTCACGGCACCTGGGACGTAGCCACTGTCACTCAGAGCTGCCCACACCTCCACATACGACAGGAGCGAGATCCAGGAAGTCTTGCCTCATTGCTGGTCTGTGCATTATGGTGGAGGCCTGTGCTCCAGATCGTGCAGTACTTTCTTCTTGTTTCTATTGCTCACCCAGACCCCAGGGAGCTTGGCATCCTCCCTGGGCCACTGTGCACCATGGGTGTATATCCAAGTGTCTGAAGAGTGAGCTGGGCAGCACATTGGCTGACAGAGCTGCTGGTCAGACCATGGCAGAGCCAGCCTCGAAAATGCTTATTTCTCTGAACCTTTCGGCTTGATGCAACCTCAAACACCTTGTTTTAAAACCTTCTGATTGAAGATCTCATTTCAACCAATCTTGTGATAAACTTGCCCAGGCGCTGCCCGGTAGGCACTGCAGAGCGTCACGGGGAGCAAGCTGGCAGCTGCCTGTGCCCAGAAGAGTCAGGGCATCTGGTGCTGTCCTCCTTCCTTGCCTGTGCAAAGGCCCCCTGAGCAGGCCTATCTGCGCAAGAGATGATGGGAGACCGGGGTTGGGGGACAGAGTGGCAGGGGGATGAAGGTCCAAAAGCCTAAGAGACAACAGAACCTTTCCTTCCTTCCATGAAGTCAGTTGTGGGGGTGTGAAGGCACCTGATTCCCACTCACCAGCAGCTGCCTGGCCCAGATCCAAGGGCACTTTCAGTCCCTGCTGCCCAGACTTCGGACCTGCCTCCGGCCCTTTGCACCCCGTGGGGGCTCTGCTTCTCTCTGCATACCTCTGGTCAGGTCCTGCTGCTCCCTTTGCAAGCCTCTTCCTTTGCTTGCCCTGTAAGCTTGGCATCCCCTGGGGGTCTGTCCCAGCTCATCTTTCCTGCTCCCACCACGTGTACACCTAGGCAATCCTGTGGATCCCCAGTCTGGTTATGCTGCGGTCTACATGGTTATAATTGTGCATTTTCATTGCATATTAGACAAGTGGATTGAATAAGCATAAAAAAGTATGCTGTTGTTTCTGTGAAAACTAGTTGTGGAGATTTGATGAGGATGAATCTGCAAAAATCCTTATAGATGGCTCTTTTGAAGGATTCCTCCCTTTAGTCAGCTTCTAAGATAGGCAACCACAGCTTCAAGCACATCAAGTGAGAGGGTGTCTATTATAATATTTGAGAGACCTTCCCCCTCAGCTGGTTATAATCCAAGTTTGTTAAATATGTTCAGTGCTCGGAAAACTGTGAAATACTGACGGTGATCTCAGCTCACAGAGGGTAGGCAGGTACAGGAATGTTTACAGCTTCTCGAATGATACTAATTTGTTGGTATGTCCTAGACTCTGGATTTTATTGTTGAAAATGCCTTCAGATCTCTCAATCTCCTTGGCGATCTCAATCTATAAATTAGAAAACTGACGCCCCCAAAGGCTCGTACATGACTTATATGCAAGAAATCCAGAAAACTAGCTCTTTGTTCGCTTCTCCTCCCTCTACACCATGCTGACTTGAGAGAAAAGTTTTCCTTCAAAGGGAGGTAAACAAACACCCTCAAAAGTCCTAATTAGGTTCCAGTTAATTAAGGTTTGAAAATAATGGATCTGCATCCTTGGAGTTGACCCCTTGGTTCCCCAGAAAACCAGTGTGTGGAGCAGAGCTTAGGAGGAGCACATCAATCTCCTGGGGACCCCAGGCAGAGCCTTCATAAATCAGCGCAGTGCCCCCTCCGGAGGCCCCCACGCATCCCCTTCCTGGCTGCCTCACAAGAGTCCAGTGTCCTCAGCCTTCGGGCGTGGCCGCTGCATGGAGTTGCTCTCTGATGCCTCGTTTGCCTCTGTGCCCTAGGTCCACGTTTTTTGTGGCCGTCCTAAAAAAAGTGTACCTTTTCACTAGCCTCAATTAGAGAGGCTCTGTGAGGTTGAACACCATCCAGGTCATGCTGTGTGCCTGAGGAGGCAGGATAGAGCTGCTGAGCCAGAAGGTTCCCCCTTCCAAGAAACTAGTTTGCCCCAGGACCCTCAGAATAAGTGAGGTGGAGATGCCAGTAGGACCCCCTACCGCGTCAAGAGTGGATGGGCTTGGAAGTCATCGTCACTGGGGGTGACTGCCATCCACGGCAGAGCAGAGCTGCTTGGCCCACCCTGCACAAGGGCACGCTGACTTCAGGGCTACCTGGCCCAGGGGTACCTCCTGCAGTCCCGTGTGCTTACCTGAGCATGCTCATCCCTTACGGGAAATTCTGTGTAGACAGTGGTGTGGGGCCAATTGGAAGCTTGGGCTTCAAGTGGGGGCTACCTGTTCTGGGGATCCTCGCACCCAGCACACCAGCCTGGTCCTGAGAGGTTCTAGCTCTGTGAAGTGCTGCCCCTTTGTTCACGGCCCAAAGTACATGCATGAGCCAAGGGCATCCTCTGTACTTGTTGGGTGAATGGGCAGAGTAACAGCCCTTCCACCTGGCTTCTTCAGTCCCTGTCCTTGCTGCTGCTGTTAAAGTCTAGAATTTAACACTAATGCTTATTTTATTTTGTTTTGTTTTATTTTATTTATGTTGTGTGTCATTGCTATCTCCTAAAAGGAGGCTCCTATAAAGGGGGCCCTGACTTCTTTGTGTCTATAGTAAAAGTGATCAGAATAGGTTCACACAGGGTAAGTGAAGTTGGTCAGGCTATTACACCATTAGCTTCTGTGTCTGTCACCTGCTTCCTTAATCTTGTTAATGTAGAAGGCACAGGGACCTGAGCACAGGCGTGTGTGCTGTGCGCATGTGCAAGTGTGCACACCTGAGCCCAGAGGTCAGGGATATGAGGGTGGCTATGAGAACACAAGCAATGGCCGTGAGAGGAAGAGAGCACGTGAGAACGCCAGAGAAAGCCCAGAGAAAAGTGGGTATAGAGATTCTCCGGACACTCGAGTTGCCGTCTCCAGCTGGCTGGCTTCCCCTGCCTGCCATTAAAATCTGTGAAGGTGACACCAAAGGCTCCAAGGTTCTCTTTAAACTGTCAGAACCAATAGTGAACCTACACGGTCTGGGATAGTTGAAAACAGCTCACGATTGTGTCTTGAACTTGGGGAAGGGAACTGCGGGAGGCCTCATCCCCTGCCTGGTTCTTGCTCCATCTCTCAGACTGCCTGGCCAGTAGGGGCTCTTCTCTCTGTCTCACGGCAGGCATAAAGCTTGCCCCCACCACATAGAGCCCTTGGGGGAGAAGATGGCGCTGCCTGGCTGTGATGTGACAAGGCCACCGGCTCCTTGGGTGCTGTGATTGGCCATTGCCTTCAGAAAGGATAGAAAAGATGCTCTTTGGAGCACTAAGTAGAACCCCTGTGAGGAAAATGGAGTGGCTCAGGCTCTTTTTTGCTTCCTGTCTGACCTCTACGACGCCACCTACAGCTTTGTTTTCCTCGTAGGATTGTGTGTGTTTTCCCACACATGGTAATGTGTCATTGCAAAAAGCGCTTGGGAGCGTGAGCATGGGGCTCACACACCCATAATTACGGCCATGAAGCTGGAGAGCACGGGGCACACATATACATGATATGACACCAGGGCCCAAGAGCTGGGGATTGTTTGGGAGAGGCGAGAAGCCAGGGATGGGTGCGGAGATCTAGGAGGCTGGGAGTTCGGTTGCTGCCTGCCCCCCTGCCTCCCTGCCGCCCTGTCCCCCACCCACTGGTCTGTGTGTGTATCTGGTCCCCTGCTTCAGCATTAAAGGCCTGTCGGATGTACTGAGGGCTCCAAGATCCTTTTCTGTTTGCCCAAATCAACCCTGAACCTGCCCTTCCTACAGCCGGTCTCCTGACACCACCAAATAAAAACATCTAAGAGACCATTGATTGTTCCCAGGAAACCACAGCTTTGTGGGGCATCTGTCCAGCCCATCACCCCTCAGTCAGGGGAACGCTCTTTGAGGGAAGTGGCCTGGCCTGCAGGAAACTTTGGGGGTCCCCCAGCAGGTTGTCAGGGGGTGTGAACCACTGTTTGAATTCTGAGAAAGTCACAGCAAACAGAATTTGATACCTCCAGCTTCTCAGGCAAATTCCTCTGGCCTGAAGGAGCCATCACTGAATCCCCTGCCATATCTTCCGCGATTCCCTCCTGGCAGCTTTGAAACCTGAAGGGCAGGCAGTTTCTCTGTTAACGCCTTAGGACTGTGGAATGCTCTTGTCCGTGACCTTAGTCTAGCCAGCCCTTAAGTCAGGGGTGGCAGGCTTTCTATAATGCGTCAGATAGTGTTTTGGGGCTTTGCGGGCCAGGCAGCCTCTGTGTCAGCTGCTCTGCGTCGTGGAGTGAAGGCACAGGGACAGACTAACGAGTAAAACATGACGGACAGTGAGATCTGAAATTCACATTACTGCAATGGCCTAAAATAGTATTCTTCCTTGGATTATTTTTCAACCACTTCAAAATGTAAAGCCCTTTTTAGTCTGTGGGCCCTACACGAGCAGGTGGGAGGCAGGAACTGGCCTGTGGCCCACGGTTGCCGACCCCTGCTTGGGTGAACTTCAGCCCCATCACCCAGCCCGCTTTTTGCAGCGCCTCCTTTCTTGGCTGGGAATCCAGGCTGGTAATGGAGAACA